AATATGCAGGAGAAAGTGGAGATGGATTGGACACTCGCTGAGGAGACCGCTGGGTGACATCGCGCGCCAAGCCCTCGAGTGGAACCAGACCGAAAGGAAAGCGGCGTGGGGGACGTGATATGGAGGAGATCGTGTGAAGAGGAGTTGAAACAGTATGGACTAACATGGATGCAGGTGGAAAGTACAGCAGAAGAAAGAAGCAAATGGAGACGTGCAGTTGAAGCCCTATGTTTCACTGGGAACCCAAGGGAGCAATAATAATAATATAACTAGGATCAGCTTCTTAAGATTGCCAAACTTGAACGTGACATATGCTCAGCAATGGATCGTTGACCGATCCTACAAATTATTTAACAGATTGTGCGCTTTTTATTTTGGTGAACCTGATGATAAACGATAATATAAACTCCGTCGAAGAATAAAGCAGTCGATCAGCAATATTTCTTTTTTGGTATTACTGGTTGCCTAATGACTAAGAAGTTAGTTTGCCCTGCTAAAAATGCTACTTATTACCTTCAAATAGAACACATCTATTCACTACTATTTAGTTAATTGCAAAGAACTCGTTTATCTCACAGGTGTGTGAGTAGGTCTGAAGTGGTTGTTCTTAGCTGAACTGAATTTTCAATATACCCCTCCGTACAAAACTCAAAAAAATTCAAGTTTTCGCAATCAATAAAAGCACACGTAAATGCAGAAAAAAGGAGGAAAAAATCCAAGTCTTCGGTCACTGAGGCACTTAACCTCCATGACTTCAGAGTGCTGTTCACTGGTAATTATTTGTCAGAGAAACATATTACTAGTCTACATAAACTGGCAGTACTTCCTTCGTTCAAGCGTGGGATCATCGCCTGCTGTGTAACAAGTTCCAGTTTAATTCCCAGTAGACGCGAGAGAAGACCTCGCATAGTAGGTAGTAAGCTCAAAACAGACGAATGACTGGGCATGAGGTTAGCAACGCCGACCCGTAAAAAGCAGCCATCGTTAATGTAACCTCATGTCTTAAAGCCCTATGCTTAACTCAGAATGCAACGAATAAACAGTCCCCGAATCCAACTTGTTCTTCTGTATGTATAACTTAATAAAATTATTGTTCGTTTATGTTAAAGCAGTATACAAACCCGGGTGGTGTGAGTTTTAGTGTTTGAATAGACAGAACTTCTGTCAAGATTTCAAGCTCTCATTTCTGACGACTGCCAGTAAGCACAATAAGCTAAGTAGATAACTTCCTGTTAATTATTTTTAAATGTCTGTCATCAATCCAGAGTGAACTACATTGTTCAACCACCTAAGGTTTGATGAACACAGCGCAAACTTGACTGACAGGATTAAGTGTGTACTTAAAACTTTGATAGCATGACACTGTTTACTGCTCAGCAATAAGTCACTGTTTTCATCCTTTTTACTTTCTCCCTTTCCGATAGAATTCGACTCCAAACTCTAATGTCAGTTCCATAAAGGTGAATCAAACACCGAAGAAGCAAATTCGTCAATCAGATGAACAGAATTTCAAGGTAAGTAGTAGCCAGAGATTACACAATTCAGTAATCGTATATATGTTGCAGTTAGAATCAATCATTGCTTCCTTCAGTGTATATTGTTAACTTGGGTACATATTATAGCATGGCAAGTACAATAGTGGATGGATCAGGTTGGAAAAGAACCCGTGGTGGTCAAACCAAACCATGCCTTGATCAATCAATGAAATCCACAACAGTTAGTTAAAGCCAGCCAGCCAGCCACGTAGGAAACTGTAGACTTCCTGACTGGTTGGGGTCATCAGGATGGTAAACACCAATGGCTAGGGACGATTATCGGTGATATGGCTCAAAATCATTCACAGTGGCTGGTGCAGATACATTCAATCCTTGTTATTTATAATAACCAATAAAACTTTATTGTTCTTCCGTATTACTATTCTTTTTGCCTTAAATCTCTATTTAACTGTATGTAGTTTACATTTCTTTTTACTTTCTTCTCTTGCTTTGTGTGCTACATCGAGTGTGGCAACTCAAACTGCCGCATATTGGTGCAGAGGAGTTCTGTAATGAAATCAGTTAGTCATCAATAGACAAACAAACTGAAAAATGTGTGTACTCTCAGACGGTCTATACAATCTACCAGATAACCATATTTCTTCTCCGATAACTGATTGTTTATAATAGTGAAATAGCTGATCTTTAGTCAGTTCGTTTCAATCTACCATACTTTTTCAACACTCAACTTACCTGAACTGGATATGTGTGCGTGTGTGTGTGTGTGTGTGTGTGTGTGTGTGTGTGTGGAGTACTATTCAGCTGATAACTTCTTCTCAAAATTTAATGAATTCATTCACTCTTTGTTCTAAGGAGTTGATTTATGAGGATTTGACTGATTTCAAGTAAGATCATGGACTAATAATATCAGTTAGAGAACTACTGACAACTAGGAAGTACTGGACAGCTGTTTCGTCCTGCCTTGAGACTCTACATCAGTACGCACTTATGAAACCGATAGCTAGTCATTGGAGCCACAACTTTCAGGTTACAATACAGTCAATTGACTATTCACTCTAAGTGATTGGGGGTGGGGGGACGCAGTCAAATTGCTGATGAATTCTAAGTTCTAACAATTTGCAAGCTATAACGCCACAGCCATTCACTGTCATGGAAGATTATCTGTCTTCAAATGCAACTTGTTCTATCTCACATGTCACCAGGAGTTTTCATTGTAATTCCAAGAAGTTTATCCTACAGCCATTAATTAATAAGGAGTAGATTAATTTTCACTTAGCATAAATCAACAAAACGATCAAGATCATTTATCAGAATTCTGATCTACTCCCATTCCCATAGTTAAAATTCAAACGCCCACTGGTAATGTGTATCACGGATCTACAATTCCAATTTGGCAACACTCTTTTCAGCCAAATAGATGGTGCAGCTACAGGCAGTCCAATCTTGAAAAGAACAAGGTTGAAGCAAGCAATCGATGAAACAACTTCCTATTGTCAATATGTCAGTGATACATTTGTAGTGTGCGACAATGAAAGTGATGCTTCCCACCTACTAAGATTATTCAACGACGCACCTACAAATATTAAATTTACTATGGAACATGAAAATGATGAAAAGTTTCATTTCTTTGATATAACCATTAAACACCTGGAAGATGGAGGTCACTTTACAGAAAGTTAACATGGAATGGACAATACTCATATTTTAATAACTTTTGTCCAAATGGCTTCGAACGAGCACTATTCAAGACTGTGTACTGTAGAGCAAGGGGATAATGCTCTGCAGAGAAATTAGAATAAGAATTTATGATTCTCGAAAAGATGTTGAATAATGTTGAAAAAACCCTCAGAGATTCATTCACAAATACGGGGAGATGTGAAGGCTAAAACATCAAACAAATCACAGTGGGAAAAATGTCTATCTTCATTCAACTCGTTTTTAATCGGGGAAAATATTACAGCGATGGTCAACAGAAGACTGAGTACGTCACTAGCCAGAGCCTATCCTACAGCTAAGCTGGTTCGTCTCCATAGAACAACTTGCTCTTTGGTACAACCAAAAGCCAACAGATACCATTCTCATGTTAACTCTGACTCTGTGTACAAATTTACAGTAGTAACATTGGGAGAGCAGAAAGAAGGGAACACCTCTGATTTTCTGAACATGTAATGAAAAGCCTATGACATAGGGAAACAGATGCTTTCAACACTACGGTTGATAGGCATCTCATACGGGTCATAAAGTAGACATTGAAGAACCTTTTAAAATTATCAGTAGACAAAAGAGTTCAATTCTCCCCAAGTTTGCTAAAGCAATCTCAACCAAACACCTGAAACCCGATTATCACGTTCAGAAAGATGCAGTTATCAGTCTTTCCTTGTCCTGGTAACTGGATGAGCTTATTCTCTCTTTCATTTGATTATGTAACATTGATCCTTTCATTCTGTATGATCATTATTGTTTGGAATAAAGCGATTATTATTATTATTACCATGGAAGGCATGCACTAATTTTTCGTTTAAGGTTTGACTATCTGAGTATCTTAAGACTGTTGCTGTAAGCAACTGATCAAAAGCCAATAAAATAAACAATGATGGTACTGTGGTGAGAGCAGGCCGTGAGAAAATATGAGCAAGGCTGATTCCACAACCAATCACAGTAAAGTTAACGTGGCAAAATATGATTCGCAGATAGAGAACTCTATTTGTCGAGGAATCCCGAAACAACCAATCAGAAGCCTGCGTTTGTTTGCCTAACTACTGATAAACAACCAATCAGATGACTGCGCTTGTCTACTTGCATAAGCTGTAATAATGTATGTGAAATATATATAAATACGTGTTGATTTTCATAATAAAACGATCTGTTGCCTGGCCCTTGTCTTCTGTTGTTACAGTACCATTTGATTCTGCACAAATCCCACCGTTGTTCTTGCTTTATTCAAATTCATCAAAGGGGAATAAATGTAATATTCAATTATAGATAAGCTTTTATTTTGATAAATCACACAGTGTTTGTTAAACAGTAATATTTACTGATGACCACACACTTCGAGCACAAATTATTACTACTGCTCATAATCATATCAAGTCACTACTCTCACAACTTTTTACTTCATTTGTATGCATGAATGAAATCGATTAGACATTTGAATAAAGTACATTTTAAAAATAATAATATTAGTTTTATCAATAAAATAGAATCAGATGGGAAATAAGACTAGTGTTTTTACAGTCAAAATAAGTAACCAGTTAGAATGCAACACATGCAACAGAAGTGGCTCAAAGTAAATACCAGAGATATGGAAGATATTATTACCACCAGTCAAATCAGAGAAGGCTCATAAATACGATTCTCAGACACATGGTCTGACCATCATAGAAACGGCCACAAGGAGATGACAAAATAACTTTCAGATCGTGCAAAACACCAATATGGACATTAGAAAGCAGAGAACACAAAGTTCACTAAAGATATCTTTTCGGTGATTTCATTTTCAAAAGCTGTACAATCGCATTTAAATACATAATTTTACCTGGATACAATGGTTTTCCGAAATGTTGGAGCCAGTAAGACAACACTTATGCAAATACTCCCTTCGTGATACTTTTGAGTTCATTGAATGCATAAAAGATTTGAATGTAAAGGATAAACGAATGTTATCACTAGATGTTGAATCTATTTTTACCAACGTGCCACTAACAGAAAAAATTTGCTTTCTGTGAAATGATATGGAGATATCCAATATAAGCGTCGGAGTACAAATATCATATCTGAAGGAATTGTTGCTGAGATGCACGCTGAATGTACAATTCACCTTCAACGGCAGCATCTACAGACAGAAAGATGGAATTGAGATGCGATCTCCTCTTGGCCCGCTTTTAGCAGACTGCTTTGTGGCCAGTTTGGAGAGTGGAGTTTTAAAATCAGCAATAAACAAATTGCCACGATACCTTTATAGTCTGCTACGATAACTCGGACTTCAACTGCATCTTACAAGAATTTAATAATTCCCATCCATCAGTTAAATTCACAATGGAACTAGAAAACGATTCAAAGATTCCATTTCTGGACATGGAATTAACAAGAAGAGATGATGGAACCCTGATGAGGTCATTCCACAGAAAACCGACATAGAAGGGACAACTAGTGCATTTCTATAGTTGGATACCTTTGAACTGAAAACAAACTCTCATCATCGCGTTAACCCATCGCAATAGAAAAATCTGCATCAGCGATTGTGTGGAAGAGTAGCTCCTATTCCTCAAAAATATCCTGCGTCAAAATGCTTACCCGACACATTTTGTCGACAAGGACATGAAACCTAGACCAAAAAGAGAAGAATTTGATTCAGTACCAAAGAAAACGCTGCATCTGAATTTAAAAATATGGGGAGATTTGGCAGCCAATATCCTAAAGAGGAGAATATCCAGATCTTTAAAGAAAGCCTTCCCTGCAGCAATACTAAAAGTGACATTCTCTAGCCGTCCGATACTTCAAAAAACGCAAAGGACAAACTCTCGTATATGACCAACTCAGTGTACATATACCAGTTCATCTGCTCGTGCGGAGCTAGGTACATAGGTTGTACATGCGCGTCCTTTCAAAATGTGTTCGAGAACATTACCCAGCGTGCCTACAGAGAAGAGGCACCGGTTCAATCAGAAGTGTCATTATTGAATATCTGACCAACACCTCACACAACATCTCAACTGATTCTTTCAAAGTAATTTACAAAGTCAACAGAAACCTGCCAAGCGCAGTATGTTTCCGACTTCTATGTACTGCAGAAGCCCTTGCAATATGCATCGAGAAGCCGGAGCTGTGTGTTCAAAAGAAATTAGTCCAACCTCTACAACTATCATGGACCTAGTTCGGTATGATCCCTTAGTTTCCGTTTTTTTCTTCTTTCGTTGTCTTTCTTCTTTTTGATCTCTTTTCGTTCGCTCTGTGTGTGTGATTCTTACTCCATCTGTCTTCATTCGATTCACCCCATTTTTTAGTTATAAAAACAGTTATTTTAAGTTCGATTCCATGCTTTTCCTGCTCACATTTATAATTCGTTTAAAATAACTATTTTACAATTATATCTTAATCCTATGCAATTTCTGTGTTTCTAAGGCTCTTGTAATCTATCCTAACTCCCATCTCAAGTTGAAAATTAATTATTTCAATTTTGTTTCTATGCTCATTTTTTACACACTTGTTATCCGTTTTAATCCCGTGTAATTTTGTTTCTAAGCCTCTCGTAAAAACCATATCTAGTTGATAATAATTATCACCTTTTATTCATCTTTATGTGGAATAATTAGATAATAATTGTACCTATTTAAATTCATGTATTTAAATGTGATTGTACACCTTTTGAAAATGAAGTCGTTGAAAAGAATAACTTTCAGCGAGAAAACAGCAATCAGAAGACATCACTTCTCTAATAGTAATAACGAATAATAATTCACATAAAAATCTATAACTATCGCTTGATTTCCTCAATTAAAACGATCTGTTGACTGGCTTTTGCCTCCTGTCCTTACAGTATTACTGCATAGCACTGCACTGTATGATTTATCAAACAAAAATCCTATCTACGATGGAGTTATACTCTACCGCATTGCCCATTTTTCTCTACTTATATCAGTAATTTTCAAGTGTTAGTTTACTAAAGAGTCCCAAATTAGGACGAAACATCCTGTCAGTACACCTAGGTTTCTAAGGGTTCTCTTAACCTGTTGTCAACTGATGGTGATTTAAGTTGAATCCATGATTGATTAGCGTTTTTACTCGTTCTAAATAAAATGTTACCACTTCTTTTTTGTGATGATAGTATTAAATACCTTTTCTCTTTTCGTTATCAAAAATTACCTTTTTTCAAGGAACAACGTCAGAAAAAGGTGAATCAGGAAAAATTGAAAAGAAAAAATTATGAAATCGATGCACTGAAAACTGAATTAGAAGCTCGTGATAAAAAGCTTCATTTGTTATCCGATCAAATGATGAAAATGCGAATACAAATGGTAATCCTATTTCATACAATATGTGAATTTAATTTAATTTGAGATTTTCCCATCGATTGATTGGACTAAAGTACTCGGTCTCAGGTTGACATGTCTGTTGGCTTCTTGTGCAGATGCTTCGACAACGTCTGGGCATTTAATTAGATTTTTAATTGATGGATGGTGACTAGCTGTGGAATCCAGCTTGATGCGTATTTCGTCCTATTTGGGACTCGTCAGCTAGTAGATGTACCTGCATTCCCCAGTGAGTGATGATGTTTCCACCGAGGCTCAAACCCAGTGCCCATAGTTTCCAACGCCAAAGCGTTACCCACTAGACCACTTGGGGCACGAGACGTGTCACTCTGAGGCCTAGCACTTCAGTCCAATCAATCGACGGGAAAATCTAAAATTGAATTAATTTAGCACTATCCGTTGCACAAGAGGTGGGTCTCGTGGCCCAATTAGTTTAGTGGATAACTCTTTGGCGTTTGAAACTATGGGCACTGGGTTCGAGCCTCAGTGGGAACATCACCACTCACTGATAAATGCAGGTACATCCACTAGCTGACGAGTCCCGAATAGGACGAAATACGCATCAAGCTGGATTCTACAACTAGTCACCCTCCACCAGTTATCATGTTAATTTGTTTATTGAATGGATTTATCATAAACAAGGTGAAAAAGTATTTATTACTTTACTGGATGACATCTCCAGCGCAGATTTATTCATTGTTCACAGTCATAGAAAAGTGTTAATCTACATAGCTTCAAAACTCCAAATTCAGAGTTTTGTTCTTACTCGTCAACCTCGATTTTCGGGTTGGAAGAAGTTTCCAGATGCCTCACATATTCTCAGTCGATTCGATAAATAAGGCTTCAGATGTCAGTGTCTCCCACCCTCAAAAAGCTTTACTGACATTTTATGTCATCTTCTCACGGGTATTTTCACTGTATCGTTTTCCATTAACACTTTGCTTGCCTCTTGGAAAGACATTAAAATTATTCCTGTGCCTAAATCATCAGGTAGACCTGTTGCCATTACTTCACCTTTTTTAACTAAATAATGAAAAGACCACTTCTGCTTAGCCTGGAACCTTCGTTGAAGGTTTTTAACAACTCTAATCGCTTTGCTTATAAACATAATAGGTGTACTTTCGATGCCAGTGTCGTCTTATGTCATAATATATTGTCTCTAGCTTAGACGGAATTGCCAAAAATATATTCAGTGTGCCTTCCGGGATTGCACATCTGCCTCTGACTCTGTACTTAGGCCTCTTTTTAAAACAAGCAATACAAGTTAATAAAGCAGGATTTAATGAATTCATCGAATTTCGGTAGAACTCGTCAGCTGAATGCCCTATATACATGCAGAGATATGTATACCATTGAAATTACATTGGGAGATATAAGACTGATAAGCAGATAAACTACATTGAATTAATCATCCAGAAAGACACGTGTGAATGTTTTCCAGGTCATGTTCAAATAGATAACGGGGGAAGAGAGTATGAGTGATCAAAATTAAGATAAATTGCATTACGCTTCAATTACATCACTTAGATAAACAATTAGTCATTAGAGAATATAACAAGAATTGTAAACAGAGTAATATCAGTAGTAACAGTTATAAAAACAATAATAATAATAGTGTTGAAGTGTGTTCAGATAATGCTACTGATAAAGGATTGTTCTAAATGAATCAAGAATAATGATAATAAGAAGTAGAATAATAAGTAAAACGTATTACCATGACAAATTGAGAGTAACGACCATCTCCCTTTGTACACAGAGACCTGGTTTATAAACTCGAATTGCACAAGCCTCCCGCGGAATAGCAAGCATCTTCCTGTTTCTTTGTCTGCTGACAATAGTGAATGACTTGACAGCGTCAATATCGTGTTCGTAGTCCACAAGATGTTTTGTTACTGAGGATTTCGGCACTTTGCACTCAACCGTTTTCATTCATTTTGGCAAATGCGAGTAGAAAAATGGCTTTTTGTACAATCTATATATTCGCTTCCACAAACACACTCAAATTGATATACTCAGTTTGAAGTGTCGAGGGTTGGTGACTGATCTTTCCCAGACTGTTGAAGCAATCGCCTCTTATGTTAAACAAGTTTGCTGTGAGACAAGCAGACGGCTGAACTAATAAATGGTTGCATTCCTATTTTGCTCTGATAGGAAGCAGTAAACTGGAAAGTACAATGGGAAGTCCCTCACTGCCTCACTTACTCTAGCTGTGGTGTTCATCAGTGTGCTGTTCTTTCTCCTTTTCCATTATATTTCTTTTTACACGAATTGCCTCATTCCAGCGAAGTCAGTTTTGTTAATTATGTTGAAGATCTGACGGTTATCATACCTGCCTGTCACTTCTCAACTAGACTGTTCAAAAATGAATAATTTTTTTTATTTTATCCGTCAGTGGTTCTTGTCGAGTGGTCTTAAGCGAAATCTCTCTTCAAATATCATCTTGTCAACTTCACTTTCAGACACAAGCATGACTTACATGAACCTGTTCGTTTCCATAACTCTTGTGACATAGATGGCCTTGAAATTGAAACTAAATCAAATGTTAAATACATACCTTGGATTGTGTATTTCCTCTGATCTTTTCTACTCTTCCCGCATTATGTTAGTTTGAAGTTCTACGTAAGGAAATTAGGATGATCTGGTATCACTATGTCTCTGCCTTTCTAGGTGTGTCAATTCTCGTATTCTACCTACCCTTCTTTACTGCTCCCCCACTCCCCCCTCCCAGTTGATCTTCCCGGGGCTACTTACAAAAGACTTTTTCATACTGCAAAGGGCACTAAAAGCTATCAGTAGGGTGAGTGGGTGTTGCTTAAACTAAC